CCCCCACCCCCCCCATGGGACCATGAGGTCTAGGAGGTGGGATCCAGGTGACTGGGCAAGCAGGGCCCAATCCCACCCTCTCCTGGGTCCCAGGCTACCAGGACACCTGGATGCCCAATTCCCCACATTCTGCGGGACACAGGCCTCCAACTCCCCTTCCCCTTACCTCCAGGTCCAGGTCCCCAAACTGCCCAGGATCCAATCACCCTCCAGGAACCCCGGCATCCAGGGCCATCCAGCAGCACAGGCTCCCGACACCCAGGGGCATGCTGAACCTGGCGGGAACCCAGGCATCTGGGCAGGACCCCCATCCCAGTGAGCCCCATAGAACCCAGGTGTCCAGGAGGTCCTGACCCTGGTTCCTCCCCACAGCAAGCAAGACCCCCCGGCGAGGAGCCCAGCAGGCGAAGGGAGGGTGCTCAGACCCCAACCTGGCTCTAGCAGGAGGCACGGGGGGGCCCACCCTCAACACGGTCACCTGGGTATGGCTGCGTGGGGCGGTGGGTGAGGTGTGGGGGGCCGGGGGAGGTTGGAGGGGGCTGCATGCTGGGGCAGGGGGTCCATGCTGCACCCCTTTTGCCCCATGCTGCTGCAGGACCTGTGTCCGGAGGAGCCCGTGGCTGATGGTTCCCGCAGCTCTGAGGACTCTGGCATCGACGCCTGTAAGCCTGACCTGGACCCTGGCACCCCATGTGAGAGCAGAGGGCTTCCCCTGGGGGGGCAGCAGGGTAGTACTGGGGGGCTGAAGTCCCCGCTCTGCCGTACCTCCCATTCTCCCCCACAGCCCCAAGCCTGACGGAGACCAGCTTTGATGTCACCCTGGAGCTATCCTCCATGCCCCTGGGGTACCAGCCACTGGGTGAGCACAGCCCCCAACCCCCGATCTGCACCACCATCCTCATACCTGCCCTCCCATGCCTGCTGCCTTGACTGATACTGCCCTCTACGTTCACAGACCCCCAGGCACTGCGGCTGGTACTGCTGTACAGCGGGGTGTGTGTGCAGCAGACTTGGCTGCCGCCTGGCGAGTTCCTGGTGACGCCAGCATCTGGGGAGGGGCTGCTTCCCCGTGTAGCCCTGCCGCCCGCCACCCCAACCACTGTGCCGGATGCCCAGCGCCGCCAGGCCACGGCTGCCCTGCTGGCCGAGCTGCATCGAGGGCTCCTGCTCAGCAGCAGGACTAAGGGAATCTATGTGCAGCGCCGGGCACGTGTGCCCTTGGGCTGGGCCAGGGCCCCTGCCATCGACCTCGATGGCCCCGTGCACCTCTTCAGCGCCCAGGACTTCCGCCACGGTGAGTGCCACCTGCAGCTTCCAGGGATCTCCAATACACAAGAAATAATGGCCACAAGCTAGCAGAGAGCAGATTTAGATTGGACATTAGGAAGAACTTCTTCACAGTTCGAGTGGCCAGGGTCTGGAACGGGCTCCCAAGGGAGGTGGTGCTCTCCCCTACCCTGGGGGCCTTCAAGTGGAAAATAGATGAGTATCTAGCTGGGGTCATCTAGACCCAGCCCTCTTTCCTGCCTATGCAGGGGGTCGGACTCAATGATCTATTGAGGTCCCTTCCGACCCTAACATCTATGAATCTATGAATCTTCAGAAATACTTGCCCCCACAGGAAGCCCAGTACATTCTGGGTACCCTCACAGCCCCCCAGGGACCCCACGCCCTCTGGGAAACCCAGTACCACCTGCAATGGGACTCCCACACACCCTGAGATACCCAGTACCCTTTGGGCACCCCTACAGTCCCTGGGAAACTCAACGCCCCCACAGGCCCCTGGGGCCCCTCCACACCTTGGGCACTTCCACAGCCCCCTGGTCACCCCCTGGGAAACCCAGTACCCCCAGGGCATCCCACATCCCCCTAGAGACCCCAACTCCTCTGGAAAACCCAGTATCCTCTGATCAGCCCTCTGGGGCCGCCGCACCCTCAGGGACCCTGATTTCCATTCCTTGGAAACCCACTGCCCCCTGGGCAAGCCCACACTCCTCCCTACCCTAGCAGGGCCCCCATAGCCCCTGGCACTCCCATGTTCCCCTGAATTCCCCCCAGGCTCCCTATACCCCCTTTGTGCACCAACCCCCCCAACACACCCCCAGGCATACCTATACCTACAAGGCATGCCCATGCCCCCACAGCCCCCCAATAAGCAACCCAGCACCCCGAACCCCTCTGGGCACCCTGATGCCACTACAAGGCCCACCACGGACCCCCCAGACAACCCAATACCTGCTGGGAACCTCAGGGGCCCTCGTGCCCTTCCAGGCATCTTGGGACCTCTCCCCACTCCTAGTTCTGTGCCTACCCCTGCCTTGCCCACAACCCCCCAGGTTCTGGCTGAGCCACCGCTCCCTTGCTGCAGAGCCCCCTTAATACCCCCTCCCCACTCTGGCCTGTGTCCCCCAGCTCTGGAGCAGCACCAGCAGGGCCTGGGCCCATGCCCTGAGCACTGCGTCACCCTGTGCCTGGGTGAGGAGTTGGCGCCCCACGATCAGCCCCAGGACAAGCTCATCACCCTCCAGGTGGGTAGAGGGGCATTGTGGGATGGTGGGGGGCAGGGCTGCATTGTGGGATGGTGGGCAGAGGTGCATTGTGGGATGCCAGGAGGTAGCCCGCTCCTGCCTAATGCCCCACCCCTCCCTGCTGCCCACAGATGGAGCAGGCTTTTGCCTTGGAGCTGCTGAAGCTGCCCATGGTGACAGGAGAGCCCTCCTGCCTCCTTAGCCTGCCCTGAGGACACCCTGGCAACTGCCAGTGTGCTGGGGGGGCGGGACTTCCTGCTTCACCTGTGGTCAGTGGAGGACAACCAGACGCACTTCCTGTTTTTCCATGACAAGGGGGACATCTTTTGACTTCTCTGGGACCTGTTGGGGAGGGCTCTTCCTGTCCTGCCTGGTTGAGAGTGGGACATCCTCTTTTGTGCATGGGGGAAAGGAGGTACTTCCTGGGCCTAACTGACCCACTTCCACTTCCTTGTTTCTTCTATTCATTTCCTGAGACTTGGGAATTGGGACGTGTTAGGGCAGGTCTTCCTTTCTAGCAACAGAATGGGGCAGGGCACTCCCCCCCCCCCCAAATACCCTTCTCCCCCCCCCTTGCGCGGGAACTGGAAATATAACCCTAATGTAGGGGCAGGACTTCCTGTCCTGCTGCCTTCAGAAGAATGAGACTTTCTACTTTGCACACACTTTAGGAGGGACCACTTTGGTAGTTTTATTAGAGAGAGGTCATGCTTCCTGTTTGCAGCAGTCTTGGGGGTGGGACTTCCTGTTTTGCCCCGGCACTGCTGGCATTTCCTGTGGTAAATGAAGCAAGCACTGTGGATTCTGCCTGCCATCCCCGCCGTGTTGCCTGCAGAAATGTTTTGAAAGCACAAGTCTCCCCGCATTCCCCCCAGAAATCACTTTTTGGGGCTTCCTACACTCGTGGCACTTTATCCTCCAGTGTGGACCCTTTGTTGCTGTACCATTTTCTAATAAAGCTTAACCAAATTTGTCTCAGCCTCGTCTGAATGGTAATTATTGGCGTCGTAACTATCTACAATGATATCTTTTCTGTGACTCTGTCATGAAAGTACATCAGCCATTGTTATCCAATACAGTGAATATTAGAAGTTGGTATTACTAGAGGTCAGGATACATCAATTTATTCCATAGCAAGTCATTAGATATTTATTGGCACTATTAGAAACTTGATATATTTTAATGTGTACTCATGTATATTTAGCCACATGGATTGCCATTATTACCCACTGATCTACTGTAGTTACACCAATATATAACAATTAGCCATCCTTGTAATTAATAATTATTGTTGTCATTAATCATTGTTGGCACTCTTAAAAATAGTATATTATCTATATTGGCTATATTAACTATTAGAAAATCAATATATTTCATATGTTAATTTTATATAATAATGCATATTGAATAGATTATTGCATATTTAGCCACATGGATGACCGTTATTACCCATTCATCTACTGTAGTCTCACCAATATATAACAATTAGTCATCCTTGTAATTAATAATTATTGGCACCGTTAGAAAATTAGTATATTAACTATATTGACTATATTAAGTATTAGAAAATCAACAATTTATATATTTTATATAACAATGCATATTTAATAGACGTGCATATTTAGCCACATGGATGACCGTTATTACCCATGCATGTACTGTAATCTCACCATTATATAACAACTAGTCATCATTGTAAGTATTAATTATTGGCACTGTTGAAAAATTAGTGTATTAACTCTATTGATTATATTAACTACATTAACTTTTAGAAAATCAATATTTTTAATGTATATTCACGCATATTTAGCCACCGTGGTAACCATTATTACTCATTCATTTAGTGTAGTCACACCAATATACAGTTAGTCATTCTTGTAAAAATAATCATTGAGGATTTGTTACCATTGTAATTAGCCATCATTTTACAGGTTGGAGTGTTAGGTCTATGTTGTTTCAGGGTTGAGGGTAAGTCTTAAATAGAGTTTAGACTATGGTTGTATGGGATGGTTTGGATAGGGATGACCCTGCATCAGGCAGGGGGTTGGACTAGACCAGTGGTTCTCAGTCTGCAGGCTGCATGCAGCCCATTCAGCACACTGCTGCAGCCCATATGACATCCTGTTAATCGGTTTTTTTAAATGGATACACAGGAAGTAAGTTCTGGGTGCAGCCCACATAACACATTGGGTGCTTGTACACAATGTGTGCTGTTTAGATGCACATTACGAAACGGTGCCAAAAATCACTGTTTCGCTAGGTTAGTTGCGTGTGAAAATACAGGTTGAGAGCTGCATGGGTGGCCCACTGTGGCAAATAGGTTGCGAACCTCTGGAGTAGAGGACCTCTGGAGGACCCTTCCAGCCTGACTTCTCTATGACTCTATATACATTACATTTATTAATTAATTATTACACTTATTAATCTATGGCAATTAATTTCCATAGATATTGGGGTGCTAATTATTTATTAGCCCATATTATTACAATCAATAGGAGTGGATTTACATCTTCATTTCATGTATTTTTTACGAGTCTCTTTTTTACCTATAATATTATTATAGTTTATAGCATTCTTAATTATCTATTATTATGAATATTTAATAATATTACTGTTTGGCCATTTGGTGGCCAATTGGCTATTGACATTCATGGTTCGTGGCTGACTATTTAGTATTTGAGCATTTGTTTGATTTTTCAATTTTGTAGTTATTGTAACTCAGTATTATTCCTCATAGATTCATAGATGTTAGGGCTGGAAGGGACCTCAATACATCATTGAGTCCGACCCCCTGCATAGGCAGAAAAGAGTGCTGGGTTTAGATGACCCCAGCTAGATGCCTATCTAACCTCCTCTTGAAGACCCCGAGGGTAGGGGTCCTGTTTGCATGATTGTTCCCAGAGTGCACAGGCGAGGACTGGGATTTAATCCTGTCTCCAGCTGGGAATGGTCCCTGAAGAGGTTTGCACCTGAGAGAGTAGATTGAGCTCAGAACAAAGGATGAGCTTCCAAGATTCAAAAGGGATTTGGATACCCTGATTCTGTAATAATCTTTAGGATTGGTGTAACAAGCATTCCCGAAGGCCATTTGAACTGCTGCATGACATACAAATCAGGAAGGAAGGTCCTGAGTGGTTGCTGAGGATGTGAGGGCATTGGAAGATTTGAGGAGGTAGATGAGAGAAATCCTCCTCTCTGATGGCTATGACCAGGATTTCTACAGGAGTCAAATGGAGCTAATACTTCATGCTTTGCAGAAAAATGTGGGGTAGGAGAGGAGAGCCTGGGTACTTCCCCTCAAGCCTTTTGGAAATGCTTTGCTGAATATAACAGCAGGAGAGAGGTTTCATGGGCATTCAGGTGTTGCTAGCATATTGTGCTGATACACGATGGGGAGACAGGGCTGGGCATGCAACAAGTGTTCAAGGGAGTGAGGGCCCCCGTTTCCATGGCCATTCATGGGAACAAGGACCTCAAACACCCTGGGTGAATCTACACAGCCAATTTAAGGTGCATTAGCTATTTTTAAGGTGCATTAAGGGTGCAGGCCTACACATGTGCACACGCATTTGCCCAGTGAGCCACATTAGAGCACCTTAAGGTATGCACATGTAGACACATGCCTAGATCACCTTAATACCTAGATGCACCTGAGGTTAAGGTGCATTAAGTTTAGACACATGTAAATTTGTGTGTAGACATGCCTACTGAGTCATGAGACCCAAGACTGTGTTCAGTCCAAGGGATTCAGTAGAAATGTATGTATGTATTTATTTATTTATTTTATGCCAGGGCCTATGGACAGTTTCTGTGAGTCCTGGGAGCTCTGCAGTGGTGGCACTGAAAGTGTGATGGGATGGGTCTTCCAGCGTGACTTCATATGTATCAGGGCTATTCTAAGTTGATGTGTGTGGGACTAGGCCCCAAGTTTCCCTCATTTCAGCCAGAACTTGAA